GAGTGCTCAAAGCATGAATTGTCTTTAAAAATGAATCCTTCTGGGAGTGTAGGATTCCTGGTCTCCCGCTGCCCTGAGTGGTTCTTTCTGATGATCCCTATGTAACTACTGTGTACTGCAGTGATGTGAGGGTCAGTAGGAGGAACCATTGAGCACAGTGGAAGACACAGGACATCAGCACTCCTGGAAGTGTCAGCTTCTAAAGAGTTTTCAGCAGGGAGTTCTCTTGATTTAAAGTGCCATTTTGCAGCATGGGAAACGGGAGAGGTAAGTATTTATTATCATCTGTACAGGCGGAGCTTTTATTTGGGATTTGATTTTACAGTAGTGACATCACAGTTTTACACAGTCCTAATGAGGTGTAAGTGCAACTACAGGCAACACATAAGATTATTCAGTACACTGTATATCTTTTTCATTTATCTTGATTTCACTATTACTGTATTATAAGGATATCTAAACCCAAGAACAAAAACTTAGTATATTGCAGCTTACCAATTCTTAGGTGTGGTGGCTGCATTGGTTTTCTTGTTTCAGGATAAGTACATTTTCTGCAAGCATAGAAAAATACCTGTTGATCTTGCCAGAAATCCAAAGTTCTTGTAATTTCCTGTGCACTGAACTGAATCTTAAATAACGTTATTTCGCAGCTATCTTTTGTGAACTGCAGAAGATTTCCCCCCATAGAGATGAGCAGAGGGGGGTGTTTGTAGTCCAAATAAGAAGAGCAGCCTAGGGTGACAATGCACTCTAGGACAGGAAGTCTATTAATGGCAGAATCACTAGGTGAAAATAAAGGGAAACAAATGAATGCAGCCACCTCATCATCAGTAAGTTGTAATATATTATTATTATTATTATTTTGGGTTTGGATACTCTTTAATATTGCAATGAATCCAGATTCTTTTTATGATTAGTGAGCAGACTTTCTATATTCCTCTTCAAATATAAATAATATTTTTCTCTGACATAGAAGGAATATGGTGGTCCAGCAATTTTCCAACCCACTCCTTTGATCAGCTAATCAAGTGAAGTCGGTCAGAAGGGTGCCGACAGTGGCAACCACTGAGTAAATTAAAGCCAGTTCATCAGCAATCGTACCATGTATACCCAACTTTAGATATAATTGTGAATGGTTAGAACTCCTGTTAGGGTTGTATTGCTGTCTGGGTTTCAGCCAGGGAAATTTATACTTTCTAACAGTTATGGTAAACACTGTCACTATAAGAGAAAATGAAGCAAAGTTCAAAATGTTGAGTTTTCACCAGAACAAGAAATCTTTAAATGGGGGTAACAACTGTCTAAGCAGGGACATTCCTCACATTGGAGTGATTTTCTCTCAGTTCTGACTGTATACAGGACAGAAAGTAAGTGAAAATTATATGTTAAGCTTTCACATTACATATGCTTGTAACAAATTCCCACAATTTTCCCTTCAATGTGTGGGGATAAGTTGATTTGCATGATTCAATGATTTGCTGCTTATATGCTGATTCAATGATTTGCTGCTTATATGGGAATTCTGCACACAAAGAATGCTTTTGGAATCAGATGGCTTGAAATTAAGCAAAAGATAAAAATTATCAGAATTAATTGAGGAACACTGGAATGTTGGGTTATACTGCTGCCTACAGGAGGATTTCCACACTGGGAAACAAAAGAAATGTGCATAGTAGGGTATAACCTTTTTTCATTTTGTGGAAAAGTAGTACCAAGAGCATAATTAAATCGGTTGGATCTGCGTCCCTCAATGAACTTCAAAAAATTGATTTACGGTAAGTACAAAAATCCTGTTTTGATTGTACTTCATTGAGGGGCACAGAAATTCAGACTTTTGGGACATCCAAAAGCAGTCCAACTGAATAGTGGGCAACAGCAACAAAATACCAACAGGCCCACAAAAAAAAAAACAACATAACTAGGAATGGCCTGCAGCTCCAAGAGCTGTTTGAAAGGCCTTACGTGTGCAGCTGGCATCAGATGAGGCCTGAACATCCATCTGGTAAGACCTGGGGAACATGTAAATAGAAGATCAGGTGGCAGCATTGCAAATCTGGGAAAAGGTAGGCTGATGCCAAAAAGCCCAAGAAGCACTCACAGAATTGGTAGAGTGTATCTTGACAGGAGAGGGTGTAACCTAATCCTTAAGACCATTCGCTTAGAGCATCAGGTTCCCCTTTACTGGGACCATCAGGAATGACAAAGAGAGTTAGTCTTTCTAAAGGAAGCAGTAGCTGTGAGGAAGACACACATAGCATGGACCACAGCCAGGCATTGGAGGGAGATCTTCTTCTGGTAAACTGGAGCCAGGCAGAGTGACAGGAGAACAATGTCCTGGTTGAGGTGGAAGGCCACAACTAAGGTAGGAAGATGTTCTGGACCTCAGCAACACCTTGTGCAAGACCAGAGAGGGTTCTTTAGGACAAAGCCATCAGCTCAGACACTGAACTCACAGAGGTGACAGCAGCGGGGACTGCGGCCTTGTGGGTGTCAGTGCAAGGTAATATATCCCTAATAGGTTCAAATTGCAGTTTTTGAAGTACTGAGAGAAGCAAATTCAAATTCCATGGATTCATGGGAGAGAACACAGGGGGGAGCCACACAAGAGACACTCTGTGCAGAAGTTAATCAAAGAGTGGCAAGCTAAGTATGTGGAATGTGGAGCTTGCAAGTACCGAGATCTGACCCTTGATTGTACTCAAGACCAAATGCTGATCAAGGCCAATTTGCAGAAAGTCTAGGATACAATCTACAGAGAATTTCCTGGGTTGAAATGTTCTTGCCTTGCACCAAGCGAAATTTGCCTTCCACTGGCAATGGCAAACCTTGTGAGAAGACTTCCTAGCTGTTAGCACTGTAGGTACTTCTGCAGCTCCAAAGAGATGCTGTTCCTTGAAGGGCATGCGAAGCAGTCGCTTTTTGTATGCGGGTCCTTCAGCCCAGCACTTCAACCAAAAAGGCTTTCTTACGTTTACTGACAGAAGACTCATACAATGAAAAAACATGGGAGACCTTTAACAACCTATCTACACAGTAGTTCAAGCCTGCTGGCATGAGCACCAAACGCTCCATAAGAAAGGGATAAGCTTGGATAGAAACAAGGTTCCTTCACACGGCCTAGCCCAGTCAGCTAGAGTGTGGCAAACTAGTGTTACAGCCAGGGCAGGATGTAAAGCTGGGACTTCTCTTTAGGGTATCCTAAAGAGAACAAGGTTTCTTAAAGGGCCCATGCTGACTTGTCGATAGGGTCCCTAAACACTGGCGTGTCCACCAAAAGGATCTTCAAAGCTTTGATAAGATGGGATTCTGCCGGATCCACAGTAGGGACAATCCACTTTTTAACAAAGTCCTCCTCAAATGCTTACAGGACTGCCAGCCATTTGTAAGAGTTCTTCCAGTTTCCATAAAGAATGCCTGCAAACAGCGTGTGCACATGAACTGTCTTTGGGACCCCAAAAGGAGCCTCGATTGTGAATAGCACTGGCAGATGCTGCAGCTGATCCTCGAGTTTTGAAGTGGTGTGAACTGCGCCAATAAGAATTGTGATGGTTCTTTGTGTTTGGGAAGGACTTAAGAGGCTCAGCATCAGATAGAGTCTCAGCAGATTATATTTGAGAGGCCACTAAGGCTTCAGGGCAGACAGGATAAGGATTCTGCAGGGGAAGATGTGGAAACACGCTTCCAACCTCTGTGGTCAGAGTCAGGAATCAAAGTTGTAATTTGGCCCATGAAATGACTGTGTTCAAATCTCCCAGGATATAGCCATGGAGGGGGCCACAACCAATAGAGCTTAGAAAGACTCTAAGTATGGTGTAGACTTAAGCAGAACCTTTAGTGGGTTCAGAGCTAGAAGCACAAGGTACAGCAGTACTGTCCCCATGTGTCCAGGACCCAACATGTTGCACCGCAAACCCAAGGCAATGTAGCTCAGTGTACAAGGTTAGGTCGTGAATACTCATGAAACTAGCTGCTTTTACCATGAGAGGTTCAGGCAGCCAGAGGTGACCAGGTTACTGTAGGAGGGCAGCAAAAAAGAACCGAGGATAGATCCATGTGTCATTTGCAATCAGGACTCAGGAGTAGGCCAGGAAGGTGCTTCCTCAATGCTAAGTGGCAGGAAAGAGAGTGTGGAGCATGTACGAATGGCACCCCATTTAGGGAATGACATCAGACCTCAGACCCTCAGTGCTTATCATGGTAAATGGACAGAATGTGGGGATTACAAATTGTGTCAAGTGGCCATAGTAACTAGACAGCTTCTGGTGCTTGGCCTGAATGATCTACCCACAAAGTGACTCACGCCTGAGGCTGTGCCAGGGCATTGGACCTGGAAAGCATGCTGCAGCTAACAAACACAGTACACACAGATCTGGAAAGCACCACAATGTGGTACCCGAAGGTCACATTGCAGGCTAGCCCTGCAATTGCAAAGTCCAGTGTAGTCTCGGTATGGCCTCCAAAGCTAGTGCTGAGAAACAACAATCTGAATAGATATGTATAGAAACCAGCTCAAGCAGCTTGTGGAGGCATCTTAACTAAGGAAAAAAATGTAATCGTGATTGAAAAAAAATAGCTAGCAAAAAGATTAGACTTATTTCAGCAGAGCAGAGAGAAAAAATGTTCATGCCCCTGGACACTAGCAAAAAATGAAGGCATGCTGGCAGTATGAGGGGTTATACTAGGCTGACCACAATTTTTTTGTTTGCTAGTATCCAAAGTCTCCTGTAGGTAGCTGTATAACTCTACAGTCTCTGAATTCCTGTGTCCCTCAGTGAACGAGAAAGAAATATATGTTTGACCCTCTTTACATCAGTTCTTATAGGTAACCTTAAATTGCAGTCTATATCCTCCAATAATCTTAGCATATTGCATATTACTATGGACTGGCTACTTCTGAATATTTATCGTTTTTATGAAAACAAACAAGCCTTGAAATGTCCTTTTAATAATACAAAGTAAAAATATGTTTCTGCATTTAAATGAGAGAAGATTCTACTCACGGAAATGTAAACAGCTGCAAATGCTGCCAGGGTGGCATGCTGAGAGGGGAAAGATTTTCTGTCAACAAAAGACAAGCACAATTATAGTGTTTATAAAAGTTCCTTTAAAGACATAACCAATTACATGTCAGCAAGAAAGCTTTAATTAGTTTACATTCCTTTCTGAATTTAGTACCAAAAGTTCAAGATTTTAAACCAAGCTGGTACAAAGATCATCATCATCATTTCGCTCACTGAATTATGATATCATCACTCTATGCATTATATTTATAAAATATTAAATTGCAAATCTGCCCTACTTTTGCCAAACATCCATCCAACATTCACCGGGCAATATTCTCCCTTTTTCTAAGGGAAGCAGGATAACTATTCAATTGACCCCTTATACACACATTCCATAGCCACATGTTTTAATGGAAAGTTGCACCATTTACAGCATCTGCTGTTTTAATGCTGACCATTTAAAAGAAATGTCTATCATTTGCTGCCACACCCAGACAGAAATGTAACAGAGTTTACAATACTGTAGCTTTCTTCAAAGAGGCAGTAGCTCTTTAATTTTCGATTAGAGCATTCAGAGATTCAACATAATTATTTTGACATATAGTTTTAATGAAAGAAAAGAAAATGGTGCAAACAAATATATTTACAGAGGAAAAATATAAATAGGATTAAATGTAAAAAATATTTAGCGAGGTTTGCTTAGTTTTTGCTTTGAGTTCAATTGTTTTGCAGACTAAGTGCAATCTGATGTATTTGTATGAGTCACTGGCTCTTTAGAAAAGTGACCCTTATGGTATCCTTAGGGGTTTCAATGCCAAACAAGAGCTCAGAGCTGCAAATGCAGTCTTTATTTCGAGTCCCTGGAAAGGGTGTTTACAAAATTAACACAGTCAATGGAAAGATCAAAGGGGTGTGCTGAAGGGGTGTTTCAGTGTATTCTTATGCTCCAGTGGATATAGCCTTTTTGACAATTTTTTAATAAAAATACTACTATATTTCTACCTGATAGTTTTACAATTCGATAACCAGCATATTATTGAACAGAAAGAAATTATGATTTGTTAGAGACCATTTATGATATGAATCTTATGCATGTCTCACTTAGGAGGTCTAATGTGTTCCATTAGCCTTCTGACCCTTGTAAGAGAGGTGTGCTTGATGTCTACCTGGCTGGCATCTTCCCATACATTAGCATAACCGATTTGTATGAATGTAACTCAATTCCTATAGGAGTTATGAAATATGAGTAAAGTTGTGAGATTATATATATATATATGAAAGTGCAGTTTCTGGTCTTACATATGTGTATTGCTCACACTGCTCTTCTAGACTGCTTAGCGACCTGGCTAGTTACAACAGGGTCTATTATAGTGTATCTATACCCAAACCCTTATTGAGTTTTGGATGGCATGGGGAAGGACTAGAACTTCTGTCAAGTTTTCATTGCTGTATGTGTCCCTGGTAGAATTAACCTTTCTAGTGGTGCTGGTGACCACCTGTTTATGTAACAACTGTCAAAAAGATTTAAATCCTTCTTTACTCTTAATTAATTTAAACTACACTATAAGAGTCTTTTGTAGACTCTCCTAAAAAGGTTTTCGGTGACCCTCTGCATTCCATTTACCTTTCTCATCTTTGTTTTAAACTGTCTTAAGCTGTCTGTGTTCTGTCACTTTCTCTGGCTGCCCACACAGACATGAGATTTAAATCTGACCATTTTTGTCACTAACTTTTGGGAAAATGAGGGTGTCACTGTGTTTAATAGAACTTTCCATTGCCCATTCTCTCCACACAGTTTGGGCATTATCATCATACAGGTGACTGTAGTAGTCGCAAATGTCACCTTTACAGCATGCTGTATAAACAGCTGTTGACCTGACTAGTGACTCAGCAGGCTGTAGCTCTCCATAGTGTTAAACATGTTTTTACAGTTTGAACCAGTTTGAACACTAGGAAGGCTATATTTTTTTGTATTTAAAAGACTAGAAAAAGTGTGCCCTCCCAGACAAAACCAATCTGGCACATCAGGCATGGGGGCAGTAAGCATGCAGCCCCTTTCTATGCTGATCAGCATGCATGGCCTCCAGCATTGGGGATATTTTAAGAGGGTTTCCCCAAATAAAAGGGCAACTCAGCCAAAGCACAGGTATCAGATGCTGATGGACATAGGGCTGTTAGGCATTCCAGTGACCAGCAGTGAGTGCTGGGAAAAAGAGGCTCATGTGCCACCTAGCTGCCTCCCTAAAGATTTAGTCACCCCCTTCCTGATAAACTGGTTGTAAGGTTCATAGATCCACTTACAAATTCACTGGGCATGCATGTCAGAAACAGGGGGAAAAAAACCCCTACACCAGGGGTGCCCACAAGGTCGATCGCGATCTACCAGTCGATCGCGTAGCGATCACTGGTAGATCGCCATGTCCTCTCCTCCCGCCGCTTCTCTGGATCCCCGCTGCTCTCCCCAGCTGGGATCCGAGAAGAAGTGAAGGAACCG